CTCTCTCTCTCTCTCTCTCTCTCTCTCTCTCTCTCTCTCTCTCTCTCTCTCTCTCTCTCTCTCTCTCTCTCTCTCTAGCTCCTCCACCCTCACCACTTCAACCTTTCAACCACTTCAACCACTTCAATCACTTCAACACATCATGCACATATCATATCTCCATGGGACCCCTTCGAGGGCGTTATCCCCCCCGCCCCGACCCCCATGGCTAGAAGAAATCCTCGACTTGGAAGCAGCGCTCAATCGCCCCATGACTCCTCAACCATCCGACCATTACATGTCCCTGATTTCTCCCGTTGAGCACGCCGCACGAGAAGGAAACCTTCCCGCATTAAAAGAACGACTGGAGACACTGCACCGCGCCAAAGGGCAGCATGAAACATGCACTGGTTGTAGTCTGTTGCTAGCAGTCCGACACCAGCACCGGTGAACATGGAAGGAGCCAGGAGGCAGACGAGCCTCTTTGCGCAGATGATCTGGAGGAAACATGGTGTGAGACGGGACTTTTTGTTTGGAGAGACGAGTACATGTAGGAAGCACGATGCAGTGCTGTTGATCTGACGCGACATATCTACTGTATTCGGGTCAATGATTGATGATTTATGATTTATGGGATACCTTGATAGAATATTTATGTATTCATGGAGTGTTTAGGGAATATTCAGGGAATATTCATGGTACATTCATGGTACATTTATGAAATATTTATGAAATATTTATGGAATACCTATGGAATACCTATGGAATACCTATGGAATACCTATGGAATACGTATGTACCCAGGGTATCTTGATGATTTATGGATTTATCACGTCGCATTCGCCATTCTTTCTAACCCTCCTCTACCTTATAGAGGTACTTACATGTACCTGACCTTACTCACAACACTGGGCCCGATAGTATCACCTAGGTAGTAGGTACGATAAGGTAGTAAGTACCTAATCAGGCACCCTCACAAACATGTATAGGACAGATTGTCTACCTTGTACTGGGAGTCTTAAGAGGAGACAAGTGAAATCAGATCATCAATGGCTGCTGGCTGGATCGAACCAAGTTTTTCCTTGTCCAGCTATCTTCGCTGCGCATTTCCGTGTATCTGACTGTATCGCTAGGTACCTACCTACCTTACCTCAGGTAGGTACATACCTGAGCTAGGTACAGTGCTGTCACTTTCCTCACATGTTCGCTTTTTGATCCTCTCCACACACACACATATAATACTGTTCCACAAACACGCCCGTGCATTTTACAGTGAGAGATGCATCTTGAACTCCCAGACTCCCAAAACTCCCCAGTGTGGCGTTATGCATAAAGACGCCATGCATATTCCAGCCGCCCATGGCAGACTGCACGCAGCTTCATGAGCGCCGACGCTCAGGTGGTGGTTCATAGACGGAAATTTCTTCCACTCATGACACAGCAGCGGTCTTGCTCTTCTTAGCAGCAGGAACCTCTGCTTGCGCATCAGCGGTCTCGTCGATCGAGCGCTTCTCGCCCTCCTGGCTGAGATCCTTCTCGGCCTGTGCGAACTTCTTCTTCTCCTGCTCACTAAGCTGGAGAAGCTCACGCTCACGGTCGGCGCTCAGGTTGAAATGGAAGTTGCGGATGATGCTGTCGGCATCATCAATCGCAAGCGGTCTAACATCCGCCAAAGCCTTGATCTTGAGGGTGACAGCCTTGATCTGAGCATCTGTCATGCCCAGGCCAAGCTGCTCAGCACGCGACTTAATGGCGTTCCATCCAGTCAGTCGAGATGCAAAGTGGACGTAACGGCTCATTCCAAAGTCGGCAGGGTTGATGATTTCGTATGTCGATGGGTTGTTGAGGATGGCCTTGGCGTGGATTCCAGCCTTGTGTGTGAAAGCACAGAAGCCAGTAACGGGATTGTTGAAAGGCACGTTAATCTCGACAGCCTCTGCGACCAGATCCTCAAGGGCCTTGAGCTTCTCCAGTCTGTACTTGGACTTGACGTAATCACGGTCGGCAACGAGCATGCGAGCCATAAGTCCACCCAGAGGCGTAATGCCATTTCGCTCGCCAATTCCGAGAACTGAGGTGTCAATGTGTGTGGCACCGGCCTCGAGAGCGCAGTATGCATTGGCAATGGCACATCCAGTGTCGTCGTGGAAATGCGTTTCAATGTCACAGCTCACCACGCCGCGCAGCGTTCGGACCAGATCATAGACTTGGCGAGGTGTGGCGCAGCCGACAGTATCTGCGATACCGACACGGTGCACGCCGACCTTGTCCACAGCGCTGTAGATGGTCAGAAGATCCACCAAGTTACTCCGGAAGGAATCCTCGGAGCTGAACCGGATCTCCTTGCCCTGCGACTTGACGTATTCGATGACCTCAATAGCGGTGTTCTTGATGTATGTCATGTCCTTGCCGTGGCTGTGCTCCATGAGATGGCTGCTGGTGCCAATAACGACATCCACGCCGTCGACGCCAGTTGACACTGCGAGCTTGGCATCGCTCATATTGCACCGCACATGTGTAAGGATCTTGGCCTTCAAGCCGAGCTTGCAGATGGCCTCACAGTCCAGTCTGGACTGCTCACTCGCTGCGGGCGAGGTAAGCTCAATGTAGTCCACACCGAAGTCATCGAGCGCCTTGGCGATCTTGATTTTGGTCTCTGTGTCGAAGTAGGCGTTGGCAAACTGTTCTCCTTCGCGTAACGTCGACTCGATGATCTTGAAGCTGGACACATTGCTGAGGAAGTCCTGTACGGGTGCGTATGGGTTGGTGGATTGGGGTCTTGAGGCCTGCTTGGTCTCAAATGCTCTGCGGGATGTCAGCGCGCTCCTCCAATGCTTGCATGCCGCGGTCACATTGCATACTGGTAGCCGTCCGGGTTTCCATTCGTTCCATTGGTCACTCCATTGCCGTTGGCATGGCCGTTGGTGCCATTGGTGTGCTCGACCTCTGGTGCTGGACACATGGTCGCGTGTGGTTGCGTGCTCCGCGATCGGCGGTGCGCGGTATGGGCAGTGATGGAGAGTGGTGTGCGTGGATGGAGGAGGGAGGAGGGAGGAGGTTTCGAGTGGTCGATGGCGGTGTCGATGTGGGTAGAGGTGTGTCAAAGCAGTCAAAGTATTGAGAATGAGTCAAGTGAAGAGTAAAGGTGAGTGGGAGTCAGACAAAGGCGGAAGAGTGAGTTGAAGAGGCAGCTTCGGTGACGACGTGCGCATTGAGCCCAAATTTTCGTTTCCCGGCCACGAACCAGACCCGCCAAGCCGTTTTCGCGGGGATATGATCCACTTGGTCCCATTCGGCCGGGCTAGACTCTACTGGTTTTTCTACTGCTTACTTTACAGGGGTCTTAATGTACTAGCTTAACCCATGTATGGACGTATACATCATTACAATGATTATATAATACCGCCACTTCTGATTCGAGATCGATCTCACCAATAATATCTGTTACGGGCCGTGGCCCAATATTCGAGATCGCCATCGCCAAGCTCCTATACTGTAAGCAAAAAAACAGACGATATCTCCGAGAAAGGAGGCCTTGACCTTTTCGCTCTCACATTCCTCTTTTGCTGCTGCTGCTGCTCGCTCAATCGTCTACTCTATCAAACTAGTTGCACTCTTTACACGGAGCCAAAGTCGTACGTTTCACACAAAGATCTGTCTACAGTGATCATGTCGGCGCCACAGCCTGCGTGCATGCATGCGCAAGTGCGAACCCGTATTCAATACTGCCGGCTACAGGCAGTGCTTATAGGAAGACCGATGAAAGAGCAGTGCTTTGGGTGAGGGGGAGGGTCGCTGCACATTTGAAGCCATTTGTGCGGTGTTCTTGTAGCTACAGTATCGGATCAATACAGCTGGTTCGCCACAGCCAGGTACCATCGCTCGCTGCATGTTTGATGGATAAGCGGCTGCTGGATAAGAGAAGCAAACTTGCAGCTAGAACAGTGCGATTTCTTCTGCTCCTTGCTAGGAGAGACTCGACCGAATACAGGAATCGCGTCACCCATAGGAACAAGATATGGCACTCAGCTTCTTCAGCACACACGTGCCTTGAGTCTCAGAAACTCACAGGAGCAAAGGTCATGCGGCGTTGCGCTACGACGTATCAACCAAGAGCCAGGGCTGGTAGCATAATACAACTACATAAAGGGCCTCATTCTGGGCAAGATATATCTGCTCTCACGCGCGGTTTTTACGCCAGTGACTGCGGTGTTGACCGAACGAGCCTTCATACGCCTGGACAGTCGCGGAGCATGTCGTCCACAGTTCTGTCTTCCCAAGTCTAGTCTGCACTGTCTTCGCCTTGACCGATGCAATGGACTTTGTTCTCCGGATGGCCGACCTGACAGTCGGAGGCCTAGGTGCCACAATGCCATCTTGATAGCCGCGACGAGATCTGGTTGACCTCGGCTTCGGTCGCCGCAGAGCTGTTTCCGCAGAGCAAGTGTCATTCCACTCAGGATGGCCAATTGCATGTGCGTTTCGCATATACCGATGAAGGTCCGATCGATCTCTCTGGATATGGGGCAACATGGCGCGCTACTCTGGCGAAAAATATGGTAGCGAAGTTTGAGCTGTGCTTTAGCTGCTCTTAGCTAATCAAATGAACCTTGCTGCACTCCATCTGGTCGAATACGAGAACATGCTCATGTTTGATTCCCGTATTCCAGTCAGATATGCCTCGGAAAGGGCGAGAATTGGCGATGGCGGTATCAAGAGAGGGCCTTGCAACAACAGATGCCGAGGATCGCGACGCATAGGTACCACATCCTCTGGGCCAGAGTCTCATCTCACGACGACTCATCAAAAGAACAGCACCAAGGCATTGTAAGCCGCATCTCGTCCGGAAAGCCCGCAAACATAACTCATTATAGCCGTCTTGAAGCTCTGGTGAAAGCAGCAAGTAGCATAGCAATCGTACTGTGCTGATGCTTGTCAGGCCTTTATGCGCCGCCCATGAAAACCCAAGCTTTGATGTCGTGCAGATGTCATGTTTCAGAGCCCGCTTCGTCTTCCGGTCTGGGGCCACGAAATCTTGCTCAAGGAGGTGCTCGTCACTGTCACAGCAAGACTGCATGATTCATGCGTGACCAACGTTCTTCAGGGTTGCCGCTGGTCGTGTAGTAGATGCCACACAGACACTATGGATCCGACGGTGGCTGGCGCGTAGACACTACTTAGCGAGTGTTTGGATTTGGTTACTACCTGGTACCTCTTGGTGGCTGGGAAGACCGGATCGCAGTGTGCAAAGCGAGGCCGCTATGCAGCGTCTTCATTCCTGCCCTAAGTCTCTGTCAGCCACTCCACGGCTGGCGACGAAACTGACTGAGTCGTACAAACATGTATCGACAAGCGAGACGTCCATATGGGCTGTATACAGCTGCATCGTTGCCAGCAAGAGCGCCGTCGTCAGCATCCCAGTCGAGACGTTGACGATCCACAAAGCATAAAAAGGGAGTTTCTATAGAACTGGCGTTCTCGATTTTAAGCTTCCTACCCGGCATCAGCAGCTGTGAGCCAACAAGGTTCCTCCTGGCCGCTTGGAACTGCGGCGCGCATAGGATCACGAAAATTCACCAACAGACATCATCCGTGGCCTGCAATGATATCACTTGTCGACGTGTCGAGTGAATATTGGCTGTGGAAGTACAGTCCATTTGCTCCATTGAGTGAGTGAGTGCGTGGGTGATTACTCCGCCGCAGTGACAACGTGGTGCTTTGTCGGTACGGCTTCTGGGTACAGTCAGTACTGGCGACGAGATATCAAATTCTCACGTTGATCAGTGGATGGATGTATTGTGTCATGAAAAATTTGTCATATTCTTTTTTTTCGCTGTGGGCTGTACAGCGCGTCTACTGCGACTCTCCCCGGGGATTTTTCTGCGCCTCCAAAATTCTCATGGCTGCTCTGCGCCTGCTTCTGTTGGCTCGGCGTCGGGGTCGACAGTGTAATCCCTACATTGCGCGGTTAGACAGGTCTCTGTTGGTGCTCTAATGGCTGGACTTACCGAGCCCGTTGGGCTCCCGGCATGGTCGTCGACGGAGGTGGTGGTGCTGCTGCTGCTACTGCTGCTACTGCTGCTGCTGCTGCTGCGGTGGTGGTGGTGGTGCTGAAGAAGTGGGAACTTGTCAGTGTTCAAGCATTTACCACGATCTCTCCCAAATGGTCCACAAGACAATCACTTACCTGGCCGTCCTCTAGAAGCCGTAGAGTGGCGCGAACCACACGAGATTGGCGCTCAGCGCCAAAGGAGTGTTGGTGTCCCGAAGGACGCGTCCCAAGACGACGAGGGTAAAGAACCCGAAGGTTCTTCGCGCGAGGCGAAGGCGCTCACACACCGTTCTTCTCTGGGAGGGGGCGCCAGCGACGGCTCTGGTGGTGGCGCCGCTGGTGGCGCGGAGGTCGTCCAGCGCGAGGAATTGCAGGTTGTAATCCATCGTTGTTGTATCGGAGAAGGTCTCTGCGAGCAACTGAGAATTTAACACACACGCGGCATGGTGCGTGCGGCCTTGGACGCGAATCCCCACCGAGCTTCCAGCGGCAACAGCACTGTATACCTACCTAGGTAGGTAGCATCATAGCTCTACGAGTTGCCAATCACCGTGCCAGTGGTATTCAGACCATTACAACAAGATTGAACGCCCCGCGTCCTCGAGAGCTGTGTCCGAAAACGTATAGTATCCCAGCGCGCTACAGAGCGCTATCTCGCACTGGACCTGAGACTAGGGCGGCGTGGTACTCTCAGGGCCGTGGAGGAATCTTTACATAGCGAAGTGAAGCGACGTCTTCTCCATCGTCTAGTACACTCTCTGCCCATGAGTGCTAGTCTCAGGGGCGAGGGACATACCCATCAAGCCCGGTAGCAAGAACTAGTCTATAACAAGCAAATCGAAATCCCTCTTTTGCATATCCTGCTCTCCTAGACCAACCCGAACAAGGACTCCTGAATTCGATTTTCCAGAGGACTCGAAAACCCTTCTACAATACAGCCCTCTCCTTACAGGGCCTAATAGGCAGAGGCGTCCTAGACATACCCCGCCGCGACCGATTTTGATACACACGCCTGCGTATTCCCAATCTTCTTCATGCTCGAGCATCTACCTAGCCAAAAGTCAGAGTGTCTGAATACCTTCTAGGCAATCCTCTTTATATACCTCGTTGATGTAAAACGGGCAACACCAGCGGTGTTACCTAAGCTACATGCCTTGTTAGATTCATCCTACTACTAAACTAGGAAAATACATGTAACTAGGAGTTATACTACCCTACCTTACTAATTTGTGTCCGAACCCTCGAATCTATCGAGTCCTTCGAGGAGTACTGCTGCTTGCTACTTACCTTACCTAGAAAATTTACGAGCAAGAGAGAGAGAGTTAAGGTAAACATTTTTCCTCCGCTTTGTATACTTCTTACACCTTTGCTTACTTGTATACTTGACTCACTTGCTTGTACGCATCCTTCTCCTTTTCTGTCTACCGTGCCTACCCAGTTACTCTTACTCACTTACTCCCCCTCGCAAAGGCTCTTCTCAATTTTACCAGATTTCTTTTGGATTTTTCCTCTCTCTCTCTCTCTCTCTCTCTTTCT